AAGTTGCAATTTAGGGTCAGCGATTATCTTATCTTATTTGCAAAATATTTGAAATAATTTCGGTTTATTTTTCGGTTTTGTATTTGTTTTAATAGCAATATCTGGCAACACTGCATAGTCGGCACTTAAACTGACAGTTATCAAAAGAGCACGTTATTGCTGACAGGATAGCACATTCGGTAAGGGAAATGCAAAAAATATAATGATATTATCTATTAGAAACGTTATCAACGTTATAAAAAACAGTAGCACTTAACACTAGTTAAGGGGGGGGGCGCTGTTGGGGGTGGTACTACCTCCCTGAAATGAGTTTTTGCAGGGTGGGATGTCTAGTGTCATCATTTAGACATGAATGGACCACATCTGGCATGACCTATAGATAATCCACTTACACTGTATAATAATATGAAGGAAAGAGATTTGATCAATCAAATCACAGAGCATTTGTTTTATCCCTTCATCTTCTCGGGTGCAAATCCTGAATTTTTTCAAAACTACAACCAAAACTACAAATGTTTTACTAAGTTACAACACCAGTATATTAATAAGTAAAAGCTGAGTATTTTTTACTAAAAGTAAAATAAAAGTAACAAAAGATAAACTAAACAAATAGTTTTGTGTGTGTGTGTGTGTGTGTGTGTGTGTGTGTGTTTTAAATACATGCACTTTTTTGGCATTCCTTAAAAATGCAGTTTTACTCTGCATATTGTACATATTATAGGCATGGTAATAATAATGTAGTGCCATTTACTAAACATTTTATGAATCTCACTGAATTAAGCATTCACACCAAGCAGGCAATTTGCTAACAATATGAAGAAAGTCCAAAAAAATTAAAAAAAGGGAGAAAAAAAAGAACAGCTTTGTGCTAAATCTGAGTCTTTTACAGCAGATATGGATGAACAAGGTAAAAGGAATTTACATAGAATCAGTGTCTTTGGCCCACTAAAAGGTTTGCTTGCATAAACGTACTTCCCAATTATGTTATTGTGTTAATGGGTTGAATATTATGTTACAGTAGGTGCTATTAGCATTCACCAATGAAATGTATTGCGATCATGTGTTGGTTATAATAGAAACACTCCAGGCCACAGTAGCCCTCCAGAAGTTTGGACATTCTAGACAAAGTGAGGTTTTGGACAATATCAGCAGAATGCTGATTGCAATTGCAATTGATCAAATAATAATACTGAAGACCAGTAATAATGATTTTCTGTTTGATTACATAAAAACGGCAATAAATAAATGCTGTCTGCAATGTTTTCATCAAAATTGTTTGTTGCTTATCAATGTAAAGTCATCACAAAGCAAAGATTTATGCTAATATTGTCCAAACCTCCACTTTGCCTAGGGAGTTTCCAAACTTTTGTGGTGTTTTTTTTCATGGTCCTGTCAAAGTATAAAATATACAGGTGTTTAAATAAAAGCTCCTTTTTGCCTTGATTAGTGAGGAATATGTTTTGATCACATAGGCATAAAGCAGTCACGCTAAACCTCCACTGGCAAAAAAGGTTGAGCTCATAAAGGAAAGGGTGCAACGAAAAACACAAGCCCAGTCCAAGGAGCCTTTTGATGTGAAAGAGACCACACAATGAAACATGAGACCCCCGTAATGCTAGTCTCATACACCCAAGCCACAGTCCTCAGTGTTTACCTTCTGTGAGAATACTTTTTTTTCTTAATAAGTCATTTAAGTTTGAAGGCAGATTTCACAGGTCTAATTGTTGCTATCACTGCATAATGCCCCTTTATGTCACTTTTTAATGAAGTGCTTTTATTACAATTTGGCCCAGTGAGCCAAGTGTAAAAGTCAGGTGAGCCTCATCAAAAACTTTTGCAACACGATCCCACCAAACTCTTTCTTTCTGAACTCAGCTGCTCACCTCAAAAAAAAAAAACTGGCATCAAATGCATAGTATCAAAGAGTCAGATAAACCCAGTCGACCCCGGCTGCGGTTGAGCCTGGGCACGGCTGCCTTGAGAACAAGTGGAGCACATGCTGACAGAAAGAGAATCTGAATTTGGGAAGATGAAAGTCATGTTTAAGCATTCCTAGACGCTCTCTTCAGAAGGACCGTGACTGTGTATGTGCGCGAGGATCAAAGCCTCGCCTCCAGTGCCGGGCTGATGGTGGAGTGTGTGGGGGCCACCGAGGTCCCTGTGTGAATGGGGACAGGGAAGAGCTCTGGGCTTTGATGGAGAGCTTGTGCCTGATCCCCCGTCACTGCTGCATTGTCTGAAGGGCAGGGACAGTGGATCAGGCTACAAGCTCGCTATATGAAGTGCAGTGGTGTTCATGCTGTTCACAGGTGTAAAAAAGACCTTCTTCAACTCTGCATTAGACAGGTGATGTCATGAGACTGAGTGAAGTGAGAAATGATTAGATGTTGCTTTTAATACAAACAAATGGTCTTTGCACGCAAAACGTATTCTCGTAGCTTCATAACATAATGGTTGAACCGCTGATGTCACATGGACTATTTTAACGATGTCCTTACTGCCTTTCTGGGCCTTTAACATGTCAGTTGCGTTGCTGTCTATGCAGGGTCAAAGCTCTCGGATTTCTTCAAAAATATCCTAATTTGTGTTCCAAAGATGAACGAAGGTCTTACAGGTTTGGAACGACATGAGGGTGAGTAATTCATGACATAATTTTCATTTTTGGGTGAACTATTCCTTTAAAATACTCATATCCCAGCTTAAAGGGATAGTTCACCCAAAAATTAAAATTCTGTCATTAATTACTCACCCTCGTGTTGTTCCAAACCCGTAAGACCTTCTTTCATCTTCGGAACACAATATTTAATATATTTTTGATGAAATCTGAGGGCTCTCTGACCCTCCCATAGACAGCAAGGTAACTACCATGTTCAAGGCACAGAAAAGTACCAAGATGATCGACAAAGTAGACCGTGTGACATCAGTGGTTCAACTGTAATGCTACAAAGCTACGAGAATACTTTTTTGCGCAAAGAAAACCAAAAATAACGACTTTATTCCACATTTTCGGGACTTATGCCATAGAGCAAAACCCGAATGCAGAA